ATCACCAAATATACTGAGTAAATGTAAAGCTACTTTCTATCTAAAACTTCTAAACTTTTAAAGCAAACTTAAAATTAACCACCCCCCAACTGAAAGTACTAGTACTAGTGCAACTTAAAAGAAAGGTTTTATCAAAATTAGAAAACCACAGAAATCTACTTTTTCCCATTTTTTTTTTTTTAAATCCAGAGAAAAGCTTCTAAGAGATGAATGGTCCTGGAAGCAATTGTATTTATCTTAAAAAAACCACAAACAAACAAACCACCAAACCCCACCTCCTTTAGAGCCATCCAAACAGCCAACATTCAAGTAACAGGGGAGTGAATCACCTCTTTCACACTTAGATGTTGGGGGGGGGGGGGGACGTTCAAAGCATGTTTCAAGGAGAGCCTACTCTCATTTGTGACCACAGACTTCTCTCATTCCAGCTTTGACCATACAGTTACAGTGAGGAAATGGTTTTCATAGTAATGAATAATTACTTTAACATTAACAACAGCTAATAGTAATTAAATAGACAGAATTTGTTCCAGCTTCTTCCTCAACCCTTCACTATGCTTCATTACTCTTACACTTCCCTCTTTCCACCTACCCTGCAATTTCCTCTTTCCAATGCATGTTGCCCAGGCAGCTTCCACTCTCTTGTACCTGCCCTAACGCCCTGTTTATTTCTGACTGCTGGTCAATGATCATGCTAATTTAATCAGCAGTTAGCCTCTTCTCCTCCTCTACTGCAAGGGTTGCTAAGACAGGAAAGAAAAGCTAGCACTCTGTTTCCGGCTGTTCGCTGTCCCCTTGCTATGAGGACTCTGAACTCCTTCAGGAACCACTGGAAACAAAGCAAGCCAACACTTCATGACAGAAGCTCCCACCAATACTAGGAAGTCATGATTTAAAATATTTCATTCAGTCTCTAATAGCAGTAGGATTTTGAATCTTAGAACTGTATTACAGTCAGTAACAGCAGTCATTGACAGTATTCTTAATTGCCAATTAAAAAACGCATGCAAAAGAAACATATTCACAAGAGTTCAGTTATCTTTTGGAATTTAAATATCACAAGTTATAATCAAATTTCATTAAAATAGCCTACATAGCACACAATCCAGAAAAAGATTCCATGCTGTGTACATTAATGCTCTCCATTTGTTAAACAATTCAGTAAGATCACGGCATGATGCAAACATACATTTTCAAAGTGTCTTAAACGTAAATGTAGCAAAACACGCATTATCTTCTTCACAGTAAGAAACAACTGAGTACACGTGGCTTAACTGAACTTTTTTTGCACAAAGTTCTACCATGTATCTTAGTCTGTCATTCTGCTCCATACATTTAAGTATAAAGAAACATCCTTTTCCCTTTTTTACCAAGGATTGCATCTTGCAATTTTTACTCCTAAATAATACATATCTCCCTTACAGCATTCCCAAAGCTACCTTACTTATCTGACCTCTTTGTTTTCTTTCCTGTACACCAATATCACCCCATTTATGCATTTAAAAAGACCTACGAGGATCATCTATGCTCTCAGTCTGTCCATCCTCCAGCACAAGAACCCTCAAATCTTTGTACTTCCCTTTTTTCTTTAATGGAAACACTTTTCCACATCTACAAGGCCCTTCATAGTACTATTCCCCATAAACAATGCTAGCTTTAAGTCCCTATTTGTTACTGTTAAGGAACTTCACACTTGAGTTGGTCTCATAAGACCCCCCTAATCTCTTCAAACTCCACACTTGCCTATAGCAGCTGACCTATAAATAAGAGATGCACTGAGGGGGGTAGCTGTTCATTACGTTTTAAACACTTGCATACAGAGACAATGTCCCCACGCACAAGGGCCTGAAAGCCAGAACAAAGTTACTGCAGGTTTTTGATACGCTGGATGTACAAGTACTCTTTGGAAACCAGGGATGTGACAAAAACTTGCAAGTACTCTATCGTGTTTAGTCCAAGGTAAACTTGGAAGTCTCTCTCCAGAGAAATGATCTCTCTATGTAGGCTCTTTCCACAGAAACCATGCAGTAAGCAACTTTGAAAAATGCTTTGTTTGCACTGTATTAGCATGGAGGGCTTACCCATAACACACGCTTTAAAACCTTAATTGAAAGCAATTGAATTTCTTACCATGGATTACAGTTCTACAAACACAAAAGATTCTGCCATGAGTATTACAAAAGTAAGCTGTAACAACAAATACCTTTATACAGGTACCAAAGATACTCACAGAGGGAGGTTCTACCATTTTTGAGTTATTCATTTTCAAACAATTTAATTATAGCTCCTACATTTTATACATGTACACTTAAATCTTTAAATGACATTTAGCCAGTTGTCTTTACCCCAAAAAAGTGAACCAGTCACGACTAAATGAGTCCCAAGGATCAGCATGATGATACACCAGTGAATCTTCCGTTTCACTTCAAAAATTACTAAGAGATACATAGGAGTGACTTTTTAAACATTGGCTTAAAAGGGAGAGATTAGGTTAATTAGGCTTTACATTCAGCAGTAACACTTCAGATTTTTGTTCTGTTTTGTTTTCTAAGGGATGTGAGAAAAAGATTGTTTGGGACTTTAATGCAGTTCGGCGAAATAAATACTGGAGATTTTTCAATGAGGTTTGCTTTGTTAAGTTCAGCTAGATCATAGGAGGGCAGTAACACCTTTGTACTAGTTCCAAATCAAGCACGACTGATTTTAAAATAATGAAATGCACAGCAATTACAAAAAAAAAAAAAAAAAAAAAAGCACAAGCTTTTTTTTTCCCCCTCAGAAGAGTGTAAAAAGAAAAGAAAACAAGCCAGAAAACTACAGTAGCATCAAAGCCAATTAATACTCTTCAGTCATATCAGGACTTCAACGAAAAATTTTAGCATTTTTTTTTAATTTGTTTTTTCCTTTTTTCCACCCTATGTCTAATTCCAAAACTAAGGGAATACTGTATCAATAACAGTACCTCAGTGTAATTCAATAGACAGAGAACATGGTGAATTATGTCTTTTGCGTATTACCAATACGCAAACGTCCATAATACCACAGCATTTCACCTATATTCTAACACCTACCTTCAATTCATACTGACAGAAAGATTCAGTAAATCAAAGACAAAGTTGATATCCTCCTGCTCAGATCTGCTCAGCTTTGGTTTACTACATACAATACACAGGATTTAACGCAACTTTGGTTGTTTTGAATATACTTTAAAAAGCTGAAACTGGGGCCAAACCAACTTTACTAAGAACACAAAAAACCCCACTTCTTATTTCCACTAAATAGTACAAATGTTCATCTTTTAAAATCAGTAATTTCCCTCGGACTGTTGAAGACTACTTCCTTCTCCCTGTCTATTGATGTGCAAAGGACCACTTTCAGATCACAATAAAGGAAATTTTCCACTGTGTTAACAGCTTGGGGAAGGAGAAGGTACAGTGGGATAGTGTTCCTTTCACTTACAAAACTACAAATAATGGATTTTCCTTCATCGTTACTGTATACATCCATGCTTCAGGTCATTCCCCAACTATTAAATCCAGCTGGACTCAGTCAGAACTTCAGAATGTCTTTCCTATCTTGAAAACAATTCCAACACACAAATAAGCAAATATACTCCCCATATAGAGCCTCATCCTCCAGATGTTTTCATATATATGCATAACTCCACTAAATGTAGCTCCACTGAAGCAGACAGAATTACTGATTGTAGCAAAACTAAGCAGAATTGCAAGAGTACGTAGGATGAGTATCTTTGGGCAGGTGAACAGGAAATAAGAGAGGACATCCCTGTGTCCTGAAAAGTAGCACAGAATAGCAGCCTACTGGCCTTGAACATGCATTTCATTCTGAGATCACTATACTTTCAAGTATGATCAGATACAATGAAAATCAGTGTGCTAACAAAAGATGCCTGTTTTCATAATCCTTCTACACAATAATATCACATTACCAGTGGTCTACACAGCCCCTGTATTAATCCAAAGAAGGAAAAACAAATAGGAATTATAAGACACTTGGGTACCATAAACACATTCATGGTGTGGAACCGGTATTTCCTAAAAAGTACTTACAGATATTTTCTTTATTTAACTATTGTAACAAGTAACATTAGTGCAGCAATAAATGTATCTGTACATCACAAGTTGTTAACTTTATATAGAACAAAGAAGCATGGATTTAAAGCTCTAAGTTCTCTACTTGAATACTTCATGACTCAATAGAGAGACCAAATACAGTACTTACAAAACAGAAAACACACTTCCAAATTCACTCATAACTGAGGTTTTCTAAACTGCAACTGCTACCATTTTTTATTAAAAGGGAAATCCTACTCTTTCCTTTTTCTAGGAAGCAGGGGTAGAAAATAAAATCAGTTAAAAAATATTGGGGATATTACTACCGTCTGTAATATCCTGTAAAAAAACAGGAGGCTGACTTGACTATGAACATTCTTCTCTACGCTCCTGCCAAGAAAGGCTCTAGGAAGTGGTACCTTTGATTATCATTTTCTGATTGTTAAGAGTTCTACGTAACAGCTAAATATGAGGAAGTTTTTTTTTTTATTTCTTATGGGGTTTAGTCTATGAAGCATGTAACTACACCATATAGCACCACAATACACAGTTATTTAAAAAACTGTCTCTAAAACAGTGAATATTTATTGTTAGTGAAAAATCCAGAATACTATTTCATGTTATCAAATGTTGCAGTACGTCTAAAGTAAGTGAGACATACCAGCTTTAAAAAAAAAAAAAAAAGTTTATCTTTGTGGTTATAAGAAAAACTACCACACCTGTAAAAATAAGAAAATTAATAGGTGTTACAATGCCTAAATGATTGCTTCCAATGAAATGTGCACTTTGGTTTCACTGAAGTCTTCCAAGCACGGTACAAGGCACATTTAGAGTAACACTCTCATCACCTGAGTGATACTGGCTAAATTTTAATATTTATGAGAAATTAGTAATTGCTTAAATAAAGGTTAATTAAAGATAACTCACCACCATCCCTCTCTCTAACTCTGTGAGTATGCACACTTTTTGCTTTACTGTGCCCTGTGTTGTCACCGTATTTGTTTTCAGGGCTATCAGAGCGCCGCAACATTTTATTTGGTGGTGAAGGATCTGTGGTGTCTCGCATCTTGTCATGACGGTGATCACCACCACCGGGGTGACTCTTGGATGAGTACTTAAGAGCCTGTAACAGATCATAAGAGAATAGGCATTTACATTAGATATTAAGTTACAGAACTGATGGTAAAATGTTATTTCTAAATTTTGTATTTCTTTCCAAAACACTTTTTAAAGTTAATTAATTTTCATCTCCTATTTAAACAATCAGCATTAGCCTTTCTAATTTTAATTACCTACATTAAAGCAACAAGTTCTGTAATTAGAACTCAAACCATTTTCTCCCACTATTACATCCAACATAACACTTGCTGTTAAGAAAAACCTAATTTCTCTCTCTTTTCACTGACGGACTACACACTTTCAGCAGTAAATGGGCCACAGTAGTTCTGCACTTCTGGGAAAAGCACAAGTCTCCACTTGGTATTATGAACAGAAAGTTACAATGAATCAGTCTAAACTTTGAATATGTCCTCCATACTGTAGTCAAGGCCACTCAGCTTCACCACTACCTCTTGAACTTCTGCAAGGTTTTTTCACTACTAGCAACCCTGTAGCAGATGTAATTAAAAAATCCCAGAATTCTGGGGGCCTAAAACATGTAATAAGACAATTCATTTTGAAGTATTTACCAAAAATTACATGTTCTGCCTCACTTTGACCTGCTTGATTTTGCAGTGTGAGCTTCCAAGTAGCAAATGTTTACATTTATGTGAACTGTCACTGACAGCTGCCTTGGACTGTCAGATTACACTTCACAGTGATACAAATACACAGAAATATAATAAAACAGTTCAATTCTGTGCCCTAAGAGGACCACTATCACAATATACAAAATTCCCCAGATTCACACCCCAAGAATGTTTTTTTTCAGTAGACAGAGCAGACAAATACAGTATCCACCTTACAGAAATTGAGGTTATTGTCAGCAGCTTAAGGATTTGATGGTTTCTGAACATGCCTAGCAGCTGGCACTGCAGAAATTAAGCCTTACTGGCAACCCCAGTTATTCAGGGTCTACAACCATGCCCTGCTCAGGTTACAGTCCACAGCAGCAGTTTTGGGGAGAAGAAAGGACTTGGGGAGGG